TTTACATCTTAAGGCATATTTTTTCAGGTCACGATTCACGCAGATTTCTGTCTACCACATTTGCTTGGTGCTTGCTTCTTCTTATGGAGATACACTTTGCTATGATTATGATCAACAAGTTGTTGATCCTGTTTTTGATTCTCCCTATGGATTTCAGCAATTCTTACAATATCTCACTTAATCCAGCTAATTAATCCAGCTAAATCTATTACTAAATTACTCCAGCTGATTAATATTTATTCATATGGAACTCAAAAAGTGAACTTGTGTTTAAAAGGCCTCTATTTTGAAGTCGAAAGTTTGATATCTGGTAGAAATATGTGCAAGTCTTCTACTTGGCAGTTACTCATAAAAGAATGGCCTGAATTTTGGTTTTGCAAGCTCATGTGAATACATTACTGCTGTCAGCTTGAGTCTCACCTCTTAAGGTAAGGGATTGGAGGGAAAATGGAAGGTAGAATTGCTATCTCTTTCCAGTTTTTCTTATGTAAACTCAAAGAATTATCAAAAAAACCCCATGTCTTTAATAATGTTATGCTTTCAAATATTCATTTTGGCCCTATGAGCACATATGACAATTTTTAGCTCTGAAACTTTGGGTTTCACTGTTTTTCTATGTGTGGGGTCTTTAGACATAGGCACTGATCAACAACAATACAGAAACTTAAAAAAAAATCAGAAGATTGTTTCAGTACCAGTTAAGTTGGAATGGACAATGGTATTATGTAATAATGTTCCTTTGTACTTAAAGTAATTAAGAGCAAGAGAAAAAAATAGCTGGACAAGTATAAACACGTACAATTGTGTACCCTGCATCCATAATAAAAACAGCTATTTTATTCTTACTGAGCACAGGGAACATTTAAAAAGTGAATTAAAATACAGAATCAAAAGCATCAGGCTGAAAAACCTAAACAGTTATGCAAATGTTTCTTGGAAAACTTTTATCCCATACAAGCATGTGCAGTAGCAGCAAGAAGAGTTTCTAGGAAAATCTCTGTAGATATGCTAATTTTTTGGAGACTCCATAAATCAAATTTAAAACAAATGTTTCTTGAATGTGCTCTTTACAAGGCCTGTTTGTGTTAAATTTGAATTGCAAACAAAATGACTTAGAGAACAGTATTCCTGCAGAATTATGCAGGCAAGTCAGGAAATAGCCTTGATAGGGCTGTATTTCAAAATGCAACTCATATCAGTAGTGTGTATGTGAAAGTATGTGCAACTCCGTATATACACACAGCTGCATATTATGCCTTTCATGCAGATCAGGAAATCCAAATCAATTAGAAAATACCTAGGGATGCAGAAAGGGCAGAGATGAACATACTGTTTTACAGTCTGTGTGAGTGGGCCACATAGCCAGGTGAGGAAATGCAGTTAGAGAAGCAAGACTTTCAGGTCACCCAAGAAAAAACCCACAGCTTATTCTGACTTATCCCAATGTTTAGAAAAGAGTTGATTCAATTTGAGATGTAGGAAGCTATAAATACTTCCTTTACTTGCTTAGGACAGCAGAGAATCAGAGCCATTGCCTTTTGATTATTTAACAGTATAATTTCCACTGGAAGATTTGCTAGGCTTGAGTAATATAGGCATATAATAATATAATGATACATTGTCATGAACTCTTCATAAAACATGCATAATATGGGGGGAGGTATATAGACAGCACAAGTGCCTGCACACAGAACAACCCATCATCCTCATAGTGGTTCCTAATACAAAAGCAAAACCCAAGATAAGTCATGCTTTGGCTGATAATCATATTAGTATTTATGGGAATTGCTGTGTAAAGTTACACATAGTGTTCCTTGCCAAAGGATCAATTTGATGTTCTGCCCTTAAGGCGCGTTGGTTGTCTGAACAGTTTCCTCTTTATAGATCGGGGCAATATGAGACTGCATTTTCAGATATTCCTAGCTGGGCTCCAGTCCAGGATTCACAAATACATTAATTCAGAGAAGGAAATGAGAGAGAGGAGGAGGAACGGAGGGGAAGTACAGACCTGGTGGTCAGGGTCAAATAGACAAAATCAGTCATCCCATACCTGCGCTGGAAAGACAATACCACTCAAAAAATATATCTTAAAAATGGCTCTGAATTACTGAGTTCTGTTTCTAAGTAACCAGGAAGCGTATGTTACTGTGACGTTCATTGACTGCTTTAAATTCAGTGTTAGAAATACACTTCTGATTGCGTCTGCTACTCACCAGATCGGGAGCTGTCAAAAAGAACCAGCCTTGGGTCGTTGGGTGAAGCATGCTCCCTTCCTCTCCCAATCCTCTTCTTCAGTTGCATTCGCCAATATTTCATTTGGGTTAATCTACTTGGCGAATCTCCCTCAGGAGATCCTGAGGAGCGCCCTTTTTTTTTTTTTATATATAGTTGCTCTGTTTGAAGTGGAATTGCACTAAAGACTGTTGCTTGGCTTCCGTGTTCGTGGCTAACAGCCCACTGAAGCTAACTTATCATCCTCACTTTTCCCCAGTAGTCTTTACCTCTGCGAAGGACAGAAGGTCGTGATACTGCCTCTACACAGTGCCCTCAGAGCTAAAACAAGAACAGTATTATTATTGATGAATTAATGAATTAAGAGCGGGAGATATGTTGATATATGCAATATATTTCTAGGGAGGGAGATTGTCATGAGTCGGAAGACTTCATTTCTGAGAAGTCAGAGTCAGTGTGAGAGTTGCTGTGAGAGTCATGAGTCAACAGACTCTCTTCTGTAGATTATTTGCTTTTGGTGGAATCCATACTAGCAACCTCCCTTTCCTGCTGTTCTGCTCAGGTGCTGGGTCACCTTCCGAGTTGCTGGGAAATAAGAGAATGGAAGTGCTGGTTTTTCAGCATCCCTAGGTCCAAAGCAACTTTTGTGACCATGGCCCTAGGGTTTTATTTTCTTTCATAAGTGGACAGACACTACATTTCTGAGTAGTTCTGACATCACTGAGATTCATCACCACACAGGACCATGCTAGATTTCACCATAACGTGCCACTAATGGTAAAAATTATTTAGCTCAGCTCTCCACCATGTCTCACTTGAAGCTCTTCAAAATAGGAAACAAGCAGAGTTTGATGCTTAACTGCTTAGTTAGGAGAGGCCAGTGTACAACTAACTTGTATTAATAAGGGAGAATCAAATGAATAATAATAAAAAAAAAACAACTACCAGTTGTTGCCAAACGGTATATGAAAAAATCAGACCCCTTAGATACGTTTGTGAGGTGCAGCTGAGTCATCTGTAATATATAGCACATGCTGCCTGACATGGTGCCAAGTTTTAGAGAACCCTCTGAAATTTTAAGATGATGCTTTTTAAAAAATTTGTCTCTCGCTCATGTTTCATGGGGGAGTCAGGGAAAGTAGAAGGACTTTCTCCCATCTTACCATATGCTAGTGTAAGAGAGAAGTACAATCTTTTGTTCAAACACTTCAAGTGATGTATTTGGTATTTATATTTTAAACATAAATTTCATGACAGATATTTTCTCTTTTCACAGGTATTTTCTCCCTTACATCTGTGTTGATGTTGCCTATTTAAAAATAGATACTCTGCAGATGAGCAGATGCATATTTCTCCTCTGACTAATTGCTCTTGCCACCAGAGTTGCACATTCACCCTCTGCTGGAAGCTGGACTGCTTCCATCTTCTGGAAACTGGACTATCATTAGGTTTAATACTGTGGTGCTTTATTCGGCCTGCAGCTCCTGGAAAGAAAAAAAGAAATGTTGTAGCATGGAGAAAGCAGGAAAATGATAAAGAAAAATACATATAAATTCCAGGTCTGAGTTCATCCAGATGAGCTCAAAGAGAAAAATAACAGGGTTCTTTCAGAAAATGCATTGCATGCAACATCCTGTCTTTGGCTACAAAATGGCACGAGCACTATAGTTACGTGCATCTGCATTCAACTAGAATTAGCAGAGTGGGAAAGGAAGAGAAAGGGAAGAATCTCTGAAACTGAAAAAAAAAATGAATTTTGTTTGTACTTCACTAGACTTCCTACATTATCAATGTCCTGCCCCTTCTCTAAAGTATCTCCCAGGGTGAACAAACAGGTTCAGGTTAATAATATTGCCTTCAACTAACAGCACTGTTGTACACAGACATGGCTTCTGGGCTCTTCACATACTTGCTGCCATCTGCTAAAATGACATTCAGACAGCTCAGAAATTTGTGGGTTTGTTTCATTGATGAACATGTGCCAAATAATAATAGGCAGGCTATCACCATCCTGCAAGTGCTCTTTCTCCTGTTGGAAGCCTCAAGGAAAAGACTGTCACCCACCTGCCTTACTTGCTTGTAAGGTGCTTTGGTACTGTGGTGATGAAAGCACAGAAAGGATCAAATGTTGCTCTGCTATTAGGTGAGAAATTAGGGTCCTTTCAAGTGAAAAAAAAAAAAAAAAGAAAAGTCCATACCATCAAAATAAAGACTTAAAAAGTACAAGCACATCTTTTCAATGTATGGTCTGATTGTGGAGCCCCATTGCGAAGTTATTTCTTGCTTTATTTCCCAGGATTGCTTTTATAAAATCTATAGCCTTATTTGAAGGAAAAAAAATAAAAGACTGCTTTGCAAAGGCAGTAAATCAAGATTAATCAAAGGAAGAACATTTAATAAAAGATCAGTCAAAATACCATAATGTATCCATCAAAACAGAAAATCCTTTATACAGGCCATTATTTGAAAAGAGCGAATTCTGTATTAACCACGAGTGGTCGCTCACTAATCAAGGCATGGATATAGAGGCTCTTGCACTGGTCTCCTGTGTGGCCACCTTTGGTCTGGTCCAGCTTATCAGCACTTCCTCTAGGATGCAGGGCATCCTAATGGGAGGGAAAGATCTGCTGTCGTAGGTCTGCCTCTCAGCTCCTATTGCACCAGATCTGGTCTTGCAGGAAAGAGGACCTGCAAGGATAGTAGGTCTGTTATTAGGCGGTGAGTTTGTGGCAGCTCAGAGGCCAGTGAGTAACTTGCAAGTAACTTGCCTGCAAAGGATACTGAAGCTTCTCGCATGAGAACAAGACGGCTGCAAAGCAAGTCACGTCACATGTAAGCAGGAAATTAAGAGGGTTAAAAAAGAGCTTAAAGAATGCAAAGGAATTTATGCTTAAATTAGGATGGCAAAAAATATATGTTTAAATACTGAAAAGCAGGAAGGTAGTTAAAGAACTGTGAGATAGTTGGGTGAACACAGTTTAAAAGAAGTCACTCAGCAATGAAAAGGCCACAATAGAGAAGGGAATTCTTTTCATCTCTTCTTGCTACTGGCGATGGGGAGATTCCTGCACCAAACTCACTGTGGGTAGTAGATGGGTCAGGGAAGCTCCCTGGGTATAAGGTAAAAAGCATTTTATCAAATGGATGAATTAATATTAGAAGTCACCAGGACTTGGTGGTGCTCGCCTGCGTCCTGAGGGAACTCCGCTACGCCGGGCAGAGCAGGCCGCTCGGCCGGCAGCACCACAGGCCCGCGCCGGCACGCAGGCCGCCTGGCAGCGAGACACCGCGGAGATGCAGCCCGGGGGCACTGCTGGAACCGCGGGCTGGGGACCGCATCTCCACCACGGCAAGCGGCAGCCTGGCTCAAAAACGAGACCACACGGACCAAGAGAGCTTGCTGGGAAAGGGCCACCATGGCCCCGGTGCGGGACGCCCGCTGCACCAACCTACCAGAGCTCCACAGTGCTGTCAACAAGCATGTGGATGAAGGGGATCCATACACATAACATAGTCTGGTTTTCAAAAAGTCTCTGACAACAAGGACAGCTGTTTAGAAATGTTAGAGTGGCTTGAAGGAAAGGTCCTCATCTGGATTTAAAGGATATAAAGCACGGGGCTAGCTTACTGGTGACTTCTTAGGATGCGCTACCCTTGGCAGGCTCACCCAAGGGCTCACCAAAGAACCAATACTGAAACTGGTTTTATTTAACATCTTTTTTTAGTCCTCTGGAAAAGGTATGTTGAGAGCTCCAAGATCACTAAGGTAGTAAGAATCCTTCTGGTCGTGAAATCCTTCGCTGATTGTGAGGACCTTGTAAAACTGCATACGTGTAGAGTGGGAGTGGGAACAGATGCGCTTCAGCATATATGTAAATAGCTTATACTTCTGTAGGAATAATTGATCTAAATCACATGTACATGATGCTGAACTTAAAACCAGAAGTTGTAACTCAAAAAACAATCTTGGAGTCATCATTGACAGTTCTCTGAAACTGTCTTTCTTTGGCTGCTGCACATTTAAGCAACAAAATATGGGGTGGGATCTGTCAAAAAACAAGTAGATGATAGCAACAATTGCCCAGCTTTATGAAGAAGCCTTAGAAGAGACAAAACCTACTTCACAACAGTTACACAAGAGAGGGTTTACCAGGTGAGTTGTCTGCTTCTAAGATACTCATCTTTATTCAGCTGCCTCTAAGACCAGCTATCCATTTGATGAAAGCCTTCAGTTACATGAATCTTTTCCAACTGCAAGAAAGTCTGTGTGGCCAAATACATGGTTTAATTCCTCAAATCTTTTTATTTAGTCTGAATGACTTCCAGCTCTTGACAGCTTCACCAAGTGCTCTGTTTTCGCTGTTGTTAATGCAGGTTGCACCCTCTCCAGAGAAGTGTGCCAGACGGGCAGAATGACACAACTGGCACTGTCTTGATTCATGCTGGTCCATAATCACAGCTAATTCTGATCACATGCCTTGAAAACATCTGTTGCAAGTAGGCGCACTCAACCATTTTAGTGAAAACAGTATTATTAGCTGTAAAATTCAATTTAGGAATGCCTGAAATCTCTAGAAACTATTTTCCAGATTTCCACTGAAAAAGAAAAAAGCCAGAACATCTAATCTCCGCTCCATTGAAGCAAGCGTTTCAACACTTGTTTTTAACACACATGAACCCTGCCATGAACATCAAGTTTAACAAAATCTTACCCTAATATGAAACCTTATTGGTTTCATATTTCATTTTGGAAATACCAGCAAACCTTGTTTTTAACTGAATCTGAGGCATAAAATATAGCTGAAGAGCAACCCTTTGTTTTTCAGTACATCTCTCCCTCTCTTCATTTGATAGGGAGCTCACTTAAACAGGAGGCCAGCTGCCCTGCAGCAACCATCACAGTGTCCGTCTGAGGAGACTGTCCTCTTCTCAATGTTGTGCAGCCACCGCACAGCTGAGAATCAACTCCAGCATCTTGAGGATGGTTTCTCCAAGCAGCCTGCTGCATCTCCAAAGCAGTGTTTGACTCCTGCAACACAGCCACTGCCATCATGCCTGAGCAGGAGGATATTTTTGGGACAACAAATTTTCCATTGTCCTGGAGCCAAGTAAGTCAACATCTTTGATTTATTTATTTTTTTTTAGGGGGGAATTGCAACACAGTGAGTGTGAGAAAGCGGGTGAGCTCACTTTCTGCTGGCATCTGTCTCTGTCCGTTAATAGGACAAAACACCTGTTGCATTATTAAAAAAAAAAAAAAAAGTCAGTTCTTGCTCACTTCTCACTTAGCTGCATGGCTTATTTGCAACCTTTTAAGTGCCAGCCCTGCAATTGCTCTTCTTAAGATTTCAAGTCCCTAGTAACGGCTCATGAAGCACCACATTGCAAGGCAGCTACGGTGAGAACAGGTACGGTGAGAACAAGTTTGATGCCTGCTGGCTTTCCTCTTTTGGTCATCTTTCGTCTTTCAGTCAAAGGGACTGGAAATTGGTTTCTTACAAACCAGCTTAGCTACATCATCCTGCAGTGAGCACTTAAAGTTTGTGCACTGCTTTACCTCTGTACTTTGAAATACTGAGGTCAATGCCCTCTTTCTCACTGATAGACAGATTATAAAATGGTTTAGGTAAATTAAATGAAAAAGTATCCTTAATCTCTCCCTAATAAAGGCATTTGTTCACCATCTCCCCATCCTTATGAGGGGTATTGTCCATATGAATAACAGCATAATGTAACTTGATATATTGCGTAGGCTTGGAAGAAGGTGGAAGGTGCTAAACTTGCTGTCCTGCTCAGTCAGAAGGGTGACTCAGGATATCATCAACTTTCTCAGCAGCTACCAAACAGATCTGGAGAAAGAACCAAGTGAAGAAGAACTGTGAAGCTGGTGCAGAAAAAAGAAAGGGTGTTTAGCAAAACTCCAGCAGCAGAAATGTTTTGAGTGCTGAGGCAGGTGTGGAGCAAAATGTGTAAGATATTGGTTTTGGAGCAGAGTAAGAAAGTAAGGAAGGGACCTAAGGCGGAAAGAGAATCAAGGTTATACACAAGCTTGAATGCTGCTTATAGAAACTCTTTGTCAGGCTTTTTGTGCTGCCTATATAACTGAGCTGCCAAGACTCAAAATCCTGAGGCTTTTAAATGGTTTTCCATTAATTCTGTTCTCTCCTTCAATATCTTGTAGAGTTTCGTGAGTCACCCCTGCAAGATGACTGCCATTTCCAGTTATAAACATGAAGCCTGATGAGGAAAGCTGCCAAAAGCAACGTATTCGGCTGCTCCAGCTTTGTGTGTGGGTAGGGAGGGAAAAAGAGGGGGTTGTTCCATAAAGCTAAAGATTCGTGGATTGCTGTAGCTCCAGGGGGAGTCTCCATATCTTACTGTGCGTGATGGGGTTTAATGCAAACTCTTGCTCCCTTCATCACAGAGAAGCTTGAAAACACAATCCATATGCACCATAGAGGCTCCAACTGGGGAAAGATCAGGATGGATTTGCCTCCTCTTGCTGTCAAGTGGGGTTTGGTTTTCCAGACAACTCATGATTTGCGTGAAAATCTGTCCCTGTGTCATGACACTTCTTCCATTCTTCATGTAAAAGAAAAAAAAAAGACAAAACAAAACAAAAAAACCCAAATCCACTAGTCCAGCTATGCATGAAAATATTTGTAAAGATTTCATGTGACACCTTATTTGCTGCATTTTCTTTTTCTCCCCATTAAAAAGAAAATCATTAGGAGAGTGGTGGAAAAGATGCTATTACCACAGTCCACCTACAACCACCCATCATGACGACGGGCACCAGATGCATCACTGGTCTGTGCAATATCCACTCTAATTAGCCTCTGCAGTAGTGGCAGAAAGAGGAAAGCAATCGTTCAGAGTCTCTTTTCTGAAAGTATTGTGTTATAAAGACTATAATGTTTGACAGCATGGATTAGTCCATTAAGACAAGAGCGTAAAGTTCTCCTCATTTAAAAGGAAAGACATGAAAACCAAGTTTGGACCTATCATTCAAGCTGCAGTACCAATGCACTTCAGAGTAGACTGTAATAAGGAAACAAATATTCCTCTCCCTCACTTTGGCATTCTCCCAACTGCATATTAAGCCTCAGGTCTGGTCTTTTGAAGAGCAGGCTTTCTACACAGAAATACCTCGCATGCAATTCACTACATGAGGTCGATTCTCCTGATCAGCTTATTAATTTCATCCTGTTGATTGATAATCATGTCTCTTGACATTCTGCATTATCTACCAGGGAAGTTTGCTTGCCAGAAGCAGCCATCAACAAGCAATTCCTCTATGGAAATATGTTAATGTACTGCAAAATGTCTGGGGCTTTTGGTTTTGACTTTGGCCAAGTTCTCAGAGGACAATATTCTTCAGTGGGATTGAGGGCATTTCCTGTTGATCCTAAGAATTACCCGACCAGAGGCTGGATAGAGCCATTTCTCCAGTACTTCTTGGCTTCCCCTCCTCACCCATCCTCAGAAGTTTTACACCTTTATGAAGGATGCAAAGGAAAGTTAGAGTAGTGGAGCTAATAGCTCTGCTATTGAACACGGGGCTGCTTATTTGCACAGATGGTGGACAATACTCTCAATAATCACAAATACAGTGTATTCAAAACTGCACTGCTTAAAATGTCCACCGAGTCTGCAATACTGTGCCTACTGTGATATATATTTAGCACAATTCCCTTTCACAAATAATTCATGCTGATCACTTGGATCAGCATCATTCTTGATGTTCTGCAAGCTGCTCTTCCTCCTTTCATTCATTAACTGCTTTAGGTTTGTTTAACTATGCAAACAGTGTACAATAAAGTTTGTTTACTGGGCTATATTTTCAGTACAAACCCTTCTGAGTTCATTATCATTTGCAGAATGTGGTTCCAAGGGAGATTTAAAACTTCAGCTCATTAATATCGTTAATAAAGCTCTGTATATTAACAAGCTGGGCTTTTGTACTTGGAAGCCAAATAAAAGGCAAATATATGTGAATCAGCACAGACTATCAAGTTCATGCATAGTGGCACCACTGATTCCTATCTAATCAGAGAAGATGCCAGTACTGAGAGGAATTAAAAAGGAAACTCTGTCCTGTGCAGGTGCACAACAAGTCTAAAATCTGTCACAGTTCTACTGGAAGGCCAGAAAAATTCCACAGGTTTTATGACTACTGGATTTGGAGCATTAGGTCCAACTGGCTACTTCTCTGATCTTGCAGAGACTGCTTGGAATACAGAAGCCAACCTCTGTTTTCCCTGGGCTAAACAATATCTAGGAGCTTGATGCTTGGCTAACCGCTAAGAGCAGAAGGGAGCGGGGCTTTCACCCTCGGGGGAGAAGGACGGGAGAGACGCCCGCGCGCGGCTGCAGTCGCCCAGGGGCAGGAGCCTTCGGCCCACGGGCCGGTGCCGG